ACAACATTAAATAGAATTCCCCAGCTACTACTACAAGAATGTGATATGCCCCCTCGGAATAAATGGGGAAATACAACAGTAATATGACACCCAACATCACACCAAGTCGTCATACATTTTTTTGGCTAATCAACACCCCACAAAACAGCCCAACAATAATGTTGATTACAACAACGCGTGACATTGTGGCGCCCAAACAGAGTATGTACACTTCCGCAACGGCCATCTGTGCATTTATGTCATAGAGTAATGAAATAAATACAAATAAAAGTAAACAAAATACAGAAACTGTTTATCTATGGGCATTTTAAGTAATTATACACTCACGGAAAAATATCTGTCATTCGGACACTGTCAACAGAAAAATATAAATAAAAAACTGCTATAAATTACCGTTAAATGCATAATTATGAGTGAGTTACTAACAAAAGGCTATGGAGCTTCATATTTCATATGAAATATTAAAAATTCGTTAACTTACATTGACAGCGGAACATCAAAAGGTGTTCATTTGTAAGGTGTTGGTAATTACCTGAAATGAAAACAGGAAAAAAACGTTATAAAAAGTATAAGAATTGAGTAGTTTTATAAATAAAACGGATATAAAGATTGAAGACTTTCTATGGGTCTTCTGTAGATGGGAGAACTCCTATATGTTAATTTAAGAGGTGGTTATATCTCGATTATAGTTTATAAACATCGTTAAAAAATCTGAAAAAAGTTTAAAAACGTCTAGGTTGCAAATTTTAACAGTCGATATCGAGTATTTTCAATCGAAGTGTTACAATTTGGTATAAATTCATACCATATCCACTAAATTTCATCGAAATCGACCAAATTCGGGAAGGTGCAAACCTGTATGGTCTGCGTTCATAAGGAATTCTGAGACAGTACTATATGAGTGGTTTAATGTGAGTACCAGCCATTTGACCTAGCTCACAGTGGCTGAGCCACAGGTGGAATAACGCCCACTAGCGCTCCAGCACCTTAGTGCTTTAATAATTGGCGAGCATGCTGAAGGACCACTCTACACCTTGTCGAGGGGCGAAACCACAACCCCAGCTATGCTCCCCAGGAGGGCACACCAACTGTCAGGCTGGATCAACATAGTCGGAGGCACCTGTCACCCGAGAAACCGAAAACCTCCGATCAGGCTCGAGACCGAAGCCTTTATCAGCTTGACACAAGTCAGGGCTGCATAAAACACGCCGTAAACCACATGCCAATTGACACTGGCAGAAACAACGACGAAAAAGTACACAGCAGACAAACTATAAACATGCTGCCTTCACGGACTGCACAATGAGTCCAAAGAGGCGCGGCAAAGGACCGCACAACACAACAATGAACGAAACTTCCGTCACGGACAGTCTTCACGACATCTACATGAAGTATGAACTTCGCAAAATCAGCCTCCGGCAACTAGCTTATACACCGCCAATTGCTTAAAGAACCCTACTGAAATCCCATCTCACCCCTCCATTCGATATACCCATATTTGCTAAAACTCTAATATCTTCATAGTAACAGCATTCCGTCAGTATATGCTTCCAGTCTTCAGTAATTCCACATCACAAAAAAAAAAATCTGTCTGGGACAGGCTTCTTTTGTGCAAAAACGCATTTATAGAATCATGGCCCGTCAGTCTGAAAGTCTGGCCGGTCCAGCATGAACATAACTTCGCGAATAAATTCGTACGTTCACCTAGTCCTCCACTTATCAACAACACACTCCCGAAGGATAGTGATGTACCCGCCTACTATCCCCATCCACCAGATCAGAAGGCCTGAACCAATCATCTTCATCAAACTGTTTAGATTTATTCGAGTTGGACACCTTTGGCACGAAGTATGGCCTTCAAACGGCCAATGAAACCGTCACACGCTGCCTGAATATTGCTCTGCGGCATATTGGCCCATTCCCGGCGAAGCGCTTGCTTGAGTTGATCGACATTTTGGTATTTTTTGGTGTCAATCTTGTTTTCCAAAATACTCCAGAGACAATAGTCCAACGGATTGGTATACGAAGATTTTGGTGGCCATTGTGTGCTGGAAATGAAGCGAGGAACCTCATTTTGTAACCATTGTTGGGTGGTGCGTGCTGAGTACAATGGTGCTGAGTCCTGATGGAATGACCAAGGTCTGCAACACATTCACAAAATGTTTGCGTGCCCAAGGCTTTAATACACCCTCCAGAAAATTTTCGCGATAATATTTGGCATTTATTCTGATGTCACGGTGGATTAATATGAGCTGAAAGCGACCATCGGTTGTTATGGCGGCCCACACCATCACCATGGCCGGAGCTTGATTTCTGGTGGCCAACCGAAGGTGCACATTTTCAGCTGACCTCTTTGGCAAGTAACACGATCATTTTGTTTGTTTACAAACTGCTGGACAACGAATGTTTTCTCATCGAAGAACACCAAATTCGGCAGTTCACCACTTTCGGCCAAGCGAAACAACTCTTTAGCTCTTTTGAGCCTGTTTTCTTTCTGTTGCGGTTTTAGTTCTTGCACAATGGCAATATTTTCTGAATGGAATATTGCGATATGTTCAGCTCACGAGCCATTTTTCGGTCACTGCGATCAATTCGGGTTTCGATCAATTCGCTTCTTCACTTTTCGAACCATTTCTGCTGATGTTGCTATTTTCTTCCGTTGACTTCCTTGACGTCGGGTTACGCTACCATTATCACGGTAACGAGCGATGGTACGAGACACAAAAGATTTATTCACATTTAAATGCTGGAGTGCTCTAACGATAGTCACTTGTGGTTTTCCAGCCAAATATAAAGAAATCACACTATGACGCATGAATTCCATCACGAATAACTTTATTTCTGCAAAATTCTCACCAAAATACTTTTGTACGCTTGTAAACAATATAATGAGCTGTCACTGGAATAATTTTAACAGCTGTCGGAAGAGTGGCTTAGAAATGACAGCAGTTTGAAGTTGGTTGCAGTTTTTTCTTCTCACCTATTTTAGGCTGTAGATTTAACCCCTAAAGAGGGAAACACTAGTCTTTTTAATCAATAAGGTTGTGAGGGTCCTTCTATCTGGTCAGAAGTGTAACGAGTTAGCCCAGCCGTGTGAAGGGTCTTCATAAGGACCTATAGTCATAATAGAACAATCTGTAGAATGGAATAAACCCTGTATCTACTGTTCATTGACTTCAAGAAAAAAATCGACACCATCAGACGAACTGCCATATGGAAAGCATTGAGCAAAAAAGGAAGTATCTCAGAAAATAATCCGAATAATATGAGAGATATACGAGAAGATTCAGAGCACATAGTTCTTTACAATGGGAAGATAAGCCAACCGTTGTTTCACCAATGCAGTAATTTTTAGCACAATTTTGACCATTTTGTGGGGGAGTTACCAGAAGGAGGGGACCGATATTACCCATCTTCGAACTTAAACTAAGTTCGGAAGAAATATTAAGATGTGCAAAGTTTGAATGAAGTCGGTTGCTGCCTTCGAGAGTTATAGTGCGCACCAGCCAGACGGACAACGGACGGACGGACATGTGTAAATCGACTCCAAATTTTCTGAAACGGATTTGGTCCAAAGAAACATGGTGTCTAAAACCAATATTTCGATTAGGCACATTTTCAACGTATCAAAGTGAATATACCCTCATTAGCCCAAAGGCTGAGGGTATAACTAAATATTTATTTAGGTCCATAAAAAAGTTGTTGCACCACAACAATTCCCAATCTAATTATTGATAATTGTTATCCGAGTCAAAAATTCTCGTATCCCATTCGTGTAACATAACAAAACAGACCTTGACCACCTTCGTCAGCGCATTGATAATAAATTGACCAACTAAAAATTTGTCAATATCATTTATAATTTTTTATTATTTGTTGACAAATTTTTTCGATTGTAAACAAAAAACAACAAAACTGCAGCCACAATATTGTTAAAAATTTGTTGTGTTACAGTGGCCAAAAACAAACAATGTAAACATGGCGTAAAACGAAAAAAACACGAAAACGTTTTAAGTGAATGAAGAAGGAAAAAAAATATTGTGTTGAAAATATGTTTTGTTTTATCAGCATTTTATTTTATTTTCTGCTTATTTAGTTTGAGTCTATATTATCTTTTTTACTTTTTTTTCATTTGGGAATTTGTTTTCTAAATATTTGATTTATTGGCATTCTTTCATAAAAATTAATTAAACAAAAAAGATGAATGAAAACAAAAAACAAAAATTATGCGCAACGCTAATGAATTTTTGTTTGTTTGTGATTGGCCGAAGATAATAAATTCTTTTTTGTTTATTTTTTTGCTTTTCTATGCAAATATTCTGTCTAATTTGTCAGAGGATTAAAACAACAAGAAGTGTTGATAAGCTGAGCATCAAAAAGATATGACATAATGACGTAAATGAATGCTGGGGGGAACTGAAAAAAAAGAAAACAGAAGATATTGCAATGCCGCACTATTTGAAAAAAAAAAATGTGTGACGTACTCCAGATATGCAATCAAATATTCTATTTGATGATGGAGCATTGAATGAAATTTAGTTTATTTGTATTATTATTTTTTGATATGGAAATTTCCAATCCTTCTGATGTAACGTGTAACGTAAAATAAGCATACGTAATTAAAACGGCCCCTAAAAAGGGATAGCGTATAACGTCCTGAAGAAATAATAATAATAATTTTTAACAAAGCAACTATCCGATAAGCTGCAATAATTAGTTTGTTCTACAATCTGTGAAATGCCAGTGCAAGCGAAGAGTACTTAACCATACATATGAATTTTAATGAATATTTTCATCATTTCGTTCATAGATTATTTTTTTTTTAATAATGTACACGGTGAGATGAAAAATACTGCAACCGACTTCAAACTACTGTCATTTCTAAGCCACTCGTTCGACAGCTGTTAAAATTATTTCAGTGACAGCTCATTATATTGTTTACAAGCGTACAAAAGCATTTTGGTGAGAATTTTCCAGATTTCTAGTGTGATTTCTTTAAATTTGGCTGGAAAACCACAAGTGGCTATCGTTAGAGAACCCCAGCATTTAAATGTGAATAAATCTTTTGTGTCTTGTACCATCGCTCGTTACCGTGATAATTGTACCATAGCCCGACGTCAAGGAAGCGGACGGAAGAAAACAGCAACATCAGCAGAAATGATTCGAAAAGTAATGAAGCGACTTGATCGTAACCCTCGTCGCAGTGGCCGAAAAATGGCTCTTGAGCTGAACATATCGAAATATTCCATTCGGCAAATATTGAAAAATGAGCTCGGGGTAAAGCCATTGAAATTCCAAAAAGTGCAAGAAAGAAAATAGACTCAAATGAGCTAAAGAGTTGCTTCGCTTGGCCAAAAGTGGTGAACTGCCGAATTTGGGTTTCTCCGATGAGAAAAACATTTGTTGTCCAGCATTTTGTAAACAAACAAAATTATCGTGTTTACTTGCCAAAGAGGTAAGCTGAAAATGTGCACCTTCGGTTGGCCAGAAGAACTCAAGCGCCGGCCATGGTTATGGTGTGGGTCGCCATAACCGCCGATGTTCGCTCTGCACAATTATTAATCGACCCTGGCATCAGAATAAATGCCGAATATTATCGCGAAAATATTCGGATACGGTCAACAAGCCTAAAATTGTATATGATGGTTCTAATGACAAAAGTATGTCAATAGGAAAGAACGGGAAGAGATATAACGAATCGAAAAATTGAAGCGATAAATAGTTTTGGTGCTATAGTCAAAGGATGAGCTTTCAACAATGAGAAGCTGGAATCAATTCACAACAGACTTGAACGCACAGAATTAACGCACACGCACACTAAAATCAGAATAAATGAAATGTTGGGATGCAGGGATAGCCTCCATAAACACCGAATTTGTACATTTCTCTAAAATTCGTAAAATATCTAAATAACTTCAATCCGTTTTGATTTAGGTCAAATACATCGAAACAGTCCTTGACTATAATCTAACGTGGAAGAGGAATGTAAAAAGAAGTATAATAGGAATAAAAGGAATTACAAAAAATCCATAGGGCAGTCTTGACGACTAAAGCTGGCTATGTGTAACAGTTGTTCTTCTTATACTAATATATGGTTGTTATAGCAATTGTAATACATCAGGGGAATTGTTGTATCTGGTTTTGGCTCCTCTGTAGCCAAAAAATCCAGGAAACATTGCAACCCGTATGAGCTGTACAAATAGGAAATTTGGAGACAGGTGTATAGGCTTAGATGGACAGTTTAATGTGTCGAGTGGTCCTAGTACACATTCGCTTGCTCCCAATAGGATTTGAAGCATTTGTTTGATCGTGCTATTAATGGTGCTTGCCCTCCTCCGAGTGTACTGTTCTAATGCCAGGGTGGCTGCATCTGTATGAATGCCAATAAGGCGTATCTATTAGGCCTCTCGATCAGAGGTTCACGCTTGTGTCTTTAGACCAATTCTGTTCAACTATGGGTTGGGATTAGATCTTCGTCTCCTTGCGAAGATGGTATCATAAGGTGGCATTCTGGCAGGTCTGAGTGTCCTTCCATTGCATATCACACAGATGCACAAACGACATTAGGTCTACAAGGTTTACTCAGTCAGTGTCCCAAGTTATTGTTGGTCGGATAATGTTTTATATCGACCGTAATGTCCAATGAGAGCTTAATTTCAGTCAGTAGGTTGCATGTAACTTATCTCAGCCTAATGCCAGACGCACAATACTCCTACTAACATCTTCATACTTTAGAATATCTATGCCAACCTGTGAAAAAGGATGAGGAGAGATTAGTTTCCTATTTAACATTACTGACCTTCGACTTTATTTTAAAGAATTCATTATACGATTGGCGCCCAACATTTTGAACACCACCGGCGTGGTATTTTTTTTTTTAAATCGTGGCGGATAGTATGAATTATTTAACGTGAAGTTGGGCAATAGGTGTTTTTGTGGGACCTTTGATAATTACTATTGTCGAACAGGCTCGAAGAACCAAAGGTTATGAATGAAAAATACAGCCTTTCTGCTTTGATTGTTATCAATTCTGATTTTATGTTACAAAATTTTATCTTTATAATTACCTAAACTTATCAAACATAGCCCAACCTCAGACAATACTTGAATATCAATTATAACAGTATACCCTCCACGTGGTAGTTTGTCCGACCGATATGTGTTTACATTACTAAATGAGCGTACCAATATCTTTGAGTATGGACTTTTATCACATCAGACCAAATCTTATGAAAATGCAAAAAATATGTTCAACGTATTTTAAACGAGGACAGAATCGATCTTGGCGATTCATTCTGCTTGCGTCATGGCTTGGCTTCAGTAGCGGGACCAATCTGTCTATTTAGTTTCGAGAAAGATGTGAGGGCATGTTTAAGGGACACTTACTGGTTCTAATTTTATTTTCATTCTACATTAAGAACTACATAATGGATAAGTTTATGATTTGAGACACAGAATAGTGTATGGACATCTATCAAATCATTTATTATCAGAGCACACTCATAGATTTTAAATTACATTAAAAAATTATGCTAAAAATTCTTCGAAAATTACAGAAAAATTTAGTTTGTTTTCAGTTCTGCTGTGGTCGTTGCATGACATCAGAAAGAATGATATACCTGATACCTCCCAAGAAAAAAACACAACCCTACAAGTTTCCGCTGTGTTTGGTTTTTGCCTCTCCCCTCACTGTTTCTGTTGGTACCAACGACCGTTTTTCCACTCACCCAATTGTGGTTTGTTTTGCATTTCATTGTTATTTCAGACTCTGTTACCAGCCTCTAAATTGGTGTTATACAATTCGCATATGTATTTTCCAAATTATTTCGGGCAAAAAGCCCAAATTGTATACAATGGTTGTAATGACAAAAGTATGTAATTAGGAAGAAACGAGAAGAGATATATTGAATCTCGGGTCATCTGTACCGAAGTTACAAAGTTGCAACTGTTATACCCACTTTTCCCCACATACAGCAAAGCTGTTCATTTCAAGAATGAGTTCCCATATCCATGGGTATAGGCGCACATCATTGTCATCGTATTCCAATAAACCTACTTAGGTATTATTATTTGTACTTTTAAATAAATGCAGGCAATTGAAAACCAAAAGCCCTTACTAATTTCATGTCTATAAAATTTCCGCTGATATAAAATTCCTTTCTTTCTCTCAAAGCCATGGTGACAATTTCAAACAACCTCCCACCCCTCATAATATTTAGTACATCGTCGTTAACGTCACAACAACACACCCTAATACCTTCCACTCAAAATTTTGATTTGTCCGCAGTGTTGGTTGCCTTGAAATTAAAGATAATTGCACGGTTTTTTTCTATTCTATTTTTTCTTTCTCAACGAAAATCTTACGCCTATCGCCTATATAAAGTATACGTGTGTTTGTTTTACTTAAAATTTCGCAAAGCAATGAAAACTCAAGTAACGATTCCAAAAAGATAAAATTTTGTTTTATTGTTGATACAATGATAAACTATCATCGCTCGTATTATTTTGTATGTCAGACACCCCCCTAACACCCATAAGTCCATATATACCAGAGACCCAGTAGTGGTTATTGCCTTCACTCGTCCCATTTGGCCACTATGAAGTACGACGTACGATGAGTATGTGCTCGTGCTGTCTTTGCATTTTTTCGTTCGTTCGTTCGATTCGTGTACTGTTGTTACTACGTGAGATTTGTTTTCGTTCGATACATGCTAAGTTGTCGATTCATTGATACGACGATTGTAGTCTAAAAGTACGATAATATGTTAATTAATTAATTGATTGATATATCGTTATATGAATCAGCAGCAAGAAGAAAAGAAACGGCAACAACAACAAATGTAAAAAATAAAAACATAATCATAAAGAAAAGAACGTAACAACGATTTGAAGGTCGCTCAACGTTTTACGTATTTCTGTTATAGACCAATAAAACGGCAATAACAATAGGAACAAAACATTTTTGGTATCGACATGATTTTATGAATATTAATTTTTTACGGAATAATATTTGATTAAGCTTGATGCATTTTGCATTTGTTTTTAATAGCTAAATATATGACTAGGCCAACCATTTTTTTGTTGGGACATTGTTGGATATTAGTAGGAAATTTTAGAGATTTTAGAGCACTCCAGCATATAAATGTGAATAAATCTTTTGTTACTCGTACCATCGCTCGTTACCGTGATACTGGCAGCGTAGGCCAAAGTTAAGGAAGTGGACGGAAGAGAATAGCAACATCAGCAGAAATGATTTCAAAAGTAAAGAAGCGACTTGATCGAAAGACGCGTCGCAATGGCCGAAAAAATGGCTCGTGAGCTGAACATATCTTAATATTCAATTGGGCAAATATTGAAAAATGAACTCGGGGTAAAGCCATTGAAATTCCAAAAAGTGCAAGAACTTACTCCACAACAGAAAGATAAAGAGTTAAAGAGTTGCTTCGCTTGGCCGAAAGTGGTGAACTGCCGAATATGGTTTTCTCCGATGAGAAAACATTCGTTGTCCAGCAGTTTGTAGACAAACAAAATGATCGTGTTCACTTGCCAAAGAGGTCAGCTGAAAAAGTGCACCTTCGGTTGGCCACCAGAACTCAAGCTCCGGCCATGGTGATGGTCGCTTTCAGCTCGTATCAATCCACCATGACATCAGAATAAATGCCGAATATTATCGCGAAAATATTCTGGAGGGTGTATTAAAGCCTTGGGCACGCAAAAATTTTGTGAATGTGTTGCAGACCTCGGACATTCCATCAGGACTCAGCACCATTGCACTCAGCAAACAAAATGGTTACAAAATGAGGTTCCTCGCTTCATTTCCAGCGCACAATGGCCACCAAAATCTTCGGATACCAATCCGTTGGACTATTGTGTCTGGAGTATTTTGAAAAACAAGATTGGCACTAAAAAAATACCAAAGTGTCGATCACCTCAAGCAAACGCTTCCGGTGTGGTATTTAAACACGGCCGGTGTGGTATTTATTATTTTAATCGCAACCGGATTGTGGTTTGTTGCCGATAGCTGTCAGAAGAACACTGTCAAAAGACCCGAAGGACCAAAGATTGTTAACAAATCCGACAACCTGCTGGTTTAATTGATATTTCAAATCTTCTTTTATTTTACAATATTTTGTCTTAAGAAACTATCCGTCCGGTGGAAAATCCGGTGGTATTGTATAAAGGCTTCACGTGAATATAAGCGCAACCGGATTGTGGCCTTTTCTGAAAAGTTTGGTGTGTGTATGAAGAACTTCTATAGGTCGTACTGGAAGCTGCCGGATTACAATTTTACAACAGTTCTCCTCAAAAACTAATTCAGGGGATCAAGTTCACAATACTTATCAATAACATGGAACGTTGTTTTGCCCCTACCGTTATATCAAATAAAAGCAAATCTTAAAGAAAATACAAAAATTCTGTTCGAAGTACTTTGAATAACGACAGAAGGAAATCGGACTGGGCGATTCACTTTTGC